CCTTCAATATTTTGTAAAATATAATTCATCTATAATCGAATCCGAATCAATATCTTCAACAAACTCTTGTTTAATGTAAATCATCGTAGAATCTGCTAAGAACTCCTTTTTTATTTTATTAAGAAGTACAATTTTAACATGTTTCATCGCAAAAAATATCTGTTTTGTAGTGACAGTAAAAACATGCAAAGTCAAAATAAAACAAATCAACCTATCAATTAAATGATAATGCTGCGACTTATTTGTTCCAGCTAATCCTCAACATAATTCAGAAATAATAGGCATATTCTAAAAGCTCTCATAATGAATCACATCAATCTAATAATGTTCTAACTGAGATCTCAAATAATACATCTCTTATTTATTGAAATCTTTAGGATAAAATTTCTCAGCAAGCTTGTAAATAGCATTAACTTTAAATTATTTAAAATTATCCTGAGGTTTTAAAGCAGAGCTAAATATAAGGAGTTTCACTATCCCATCATTGAATTTAGAATTTAATTCTTCCAATTGAAAATCCATTGTTGAGTTAAATATATCATAATGTAATGCTGGTAAATTGTCACTGAACCTTGTTATTGACATGAATTACCTATAGCTTTTTTATACAAAGCATTTATATGTGGCATGTCAATCTCATATTTTGTGCAAACAAATTGCACATTTACAAAGAGAAGATCAAATCCAGCATCTTTTAAAATTCAAAGCAATGCTTTAGTAGTTGATACAAGATCCATTGCATTTAAGATGTCAAGAAATTTTTGCTGTAAAGCTCAACAAAGTAAATTAGTAATCCTCATATTTTATGCATCAAATATAAGATGAATATAAATTCAAAAGATTTCATCATAATCAAATAACCACTAGCTTTTCCATATATAGAGTTAGAACATCCTTTTTGAACTATACTTTAAAGCATAGTAATAGTTGCACCATACATATCTATTAATCTGTAAATAGAATCAAAATAAGAGCTCCAACGATTAGTTTTACTTTGATGTAAATTATCGATTTGATCAGCCACTCTACCAGTCTCACATTCTCCAATAGTTACCATATGTATAATTTCTATAGCCTAAGCATCATGTAACTCGATATAATGTTTGAACGAAGTACTAATAAAATGGATAATAATTGTTAATTTTAAGAAAAATAACCAAATAAAAATCTCATTTACAGTTGCTGCAACTAATGTTAGTTATTGTCGGTGAGCAAAGCAATGTACATAATATACATAAGGACAATTCATGAGAAATAGAACTTGTAATCCATTCCATGCTGTTGTCTATCCTAGTTAAGAGCATATTATTTTTACATTTTAAAAATATTTTTTTAAAAAATATTTTTTAATTATTTTTTGATATTTTTCAATACTATATTAATATCAAAAACAATTTTTTTAAAATAATCAATACTTCACTCTAAAGGTAAACCTTTCAATGATACATTAAACTTACAGGTTGCTATCCTAGCTTGCCATGTGGTTGGTAACATGCCTACCACATCATGGCTAGAAAAACAAAAAAAATATCCCTTCAATTTCATAGAAAAGAATAATTAATGGAGGAGATTATTGATGGGTTTTGAGTTGTGTCGGCAACATAAAAATGATAGCTATGTGATCTGGTAATCTAGCTAAAACTATATTATGAATTAATTAGAGCATGTCCCTGCATATGAAAATGTGGTGTGAAGAAGGACAATTACAAGGTATGTTCAAGAACTCGGAATATTTTGAAAAATATAATTATAAATATTCAAGTATTCCTATATTTGTTTTTCTCTACCTGAGTTACAATCCACCTGAGCCTTGTGAAAGGCTCCGCCTTTAAGGACAACCATCAAAGTGAGTTCTTGAGTGTAATTTAATTGATCATATATATGTTCAATCAACATGATGGCGTCGAAGCTAAAAAAAAGTAAATAGTGGATCAATTTTTTTTTGTACTGTTGAGTCCCATTTGTGATTGTTCATTAGCTTTGGCTAATAACATTCTAAAAGAATGCTCAAGTCATGATTGTTGATTAGCTTCAACTAATGACATTCAAGATGGATGTCTGGGTTGGATTGTTGGCAAACTTTGATTAAGGCATCTTAGTAGGATGACTTAGTTGTGTTTGATGATTAGCTTCAGCTAATGACATCAAAGATGAATGGTTGGGTTATGATTATTGATCAATTTCAGCTAATAACATCCTAAGAGGATGACCAAGTTATGTTTGGTGATTAGTTTTGATTAAGGGCAATCTAGAGTGATGTCTAGTTTGAATTTGAGGGTTGGTTTCTATTAACATTATTCAAGATGGATGATCAAATTTGATTATTGTATTTAACCTCAATAATAAACGAATTATTAAAGGTCGTGTTACGTAAGAAAGCATAAATGAAAGAATTGTACCCTTTTAGATTGTAAATGAAAAGTGTCATTACTATTCCTTTAATTATCCATTTCTATATTTTTAAATTAATTGTAAGGCTTGAGATTATCTTATGATGTAATAGGGATGTCACACCAATAAGGTGCATAAGAAAATTTGTTTCATGGCTCACACTTTTTGAAAAAGAACTATATTTACTTGTTATTGGTGTTATGTATTTTATAGGGATGAATGTACTAATTGTATAATTACTATTCGACACTTTTGGAATGAATGATATCGATAGTTGTAATGGAACACTAAAACAAATGTATGGACATGTAAACATGATGTTATAAATTCATGCATATGGTATTCTCTCTTATGAGAATATTGTATGGTGAAATCACTTGAATATTGTACTATACTAAGAAATAAATTCTATTATGATAAGCCCTTGAATACAATTGCGATAATGTGCACTGTCATTATTTATGGGATGTCAATTTACATTACCCTATATGGGTTGTGCCTGACTAATGAATGTAACACATTTATAAATTCACAAAATGATATCGTGAAAGTATTAATAATCCGATGACAAAAAAAACACCACCGATTTTAGCTTTGAAAAAGCCAGGTTGTTACATATGTGATCGTTTTAATGTTATATACATCAATCTCCAAATGATAAATGTGATCTTCTCATTACTATATGCATCAATCTCTAAGGAGTAGACTTGGTCTCCTTAATGCTTTATGTATCATTCTTTGATGGATAGACTTGGTTTTTTTAGTACAAATAACAACATCATCTAATTACCACTTTTTAGTGGTGACTCTCATGCCTCCATCAAATAATAATAATAATAAAAAGAATGATCATGATGATGATCACTATTTAGTAGAGAACATTTAAACCCCATGACAATGCTAGGGAAACTACATACTCCCATTCTCTAAAGAATCCGTAATCACTTAGAAATTTCTAAGTATAGGTTCACCCTTTTTGGATTCCACACAACCATTTAGAAATTTGTATAAACGATCAACATGATCTCCTCAATCTCTTTGAATTTTTCTAAGCATACATTCTTAGTACTTTACACTTGAAAGTTTTTTTATTTCAATCTAGGTACATATTGTTTTGTACTCTTTTTTTTCTAGCTTACATCTTGCTTTTATATTAGCAAAACTCATCTCTCTACCTAAATTGAGAAATTAATTAAATTCTTTGTATGTTATTATATCACAAAGGCTAGGGGTCTAATGATGAACCAAGTTTTTATAAGTATATCCTTACCAAATAATATCAGATAAAGAAAAACTTACAGATATAAATTTTTTGGATATAAACATGCCTAGTAAAAGCGTATTGGGTCTAGCACTAGTCAAACCTAGCCATGAATGAACTTGATAGTGTGCTAAGCCCTAAACATGATAGGTTTGATGCTAGCCAGACTCAACCACAACTAGGCTTGGTAGTAGTGCCAAACCCAATCATAGATGGACTTAGTAGTATACCTAGCCTAGGCGTGGTGGGTTTGGTGCTTGCTAAACTCAAGAGATAATTAAGTCTAACAATATCAATTTTATATATTTTTATATAAAATCATAGAGAAATCATTTCTCAACAAATTAAATAGGTTTATACTCTACTAGGACCATTGGATGTATTGAATTTTTTCATAGCCAATCATGTCACAATCTTTTAGCTAGATAAAATGAGTGAAATATAATTCAAAATATTACTAAGGTGACATCACACTTCAGTTTCTCCTGTCTATCAAAGAGTAAGACTCATGAGTTATAAATACAATATGAGATCTTCATAATATGTTCACAATCTTTATTTTCTACTATATATGTATTTTCAGAACATCTCTCTATAGAGTATTATTGTATTTTCTCTTTCTAAAAATATACTTATTTAAGTATCGAGGAATCCCCACCTCTACCATAAGAGATTTTTTGCAGGTATTAGCTACAAGTCACTTTAGCTTGCCAAGTATCAAATACAAGCTATCAATCACCTTAACAAGAAAAAAATAAAATTAATCAATTATCTAACCTGAAACCATATTCCTAGATTACTTGAAATTTTGAAATTACAATGAGAGTGACTGCGGACCGGGGGGCTGTTTAACAGAGGATATGTAGAAAAAAACAGAATCAATATGTGTAAGTGTAAGTAGTATTCTATTTATTTTTCAAAAACAAAAAAAAAGAAAGAGAGAGAGGAGAAGAATACATAATAAGAAAAAGGTGGTGCTAGGCTCCCAACCGTATGTGTAAATTTAGGCAGGAGGTAATGTCTTCCAAAGCAAAATTCTAGGAAAGCAATGCATAAAACTCGGGGTCGTGTAGTTTGATAATGTGAGATGTGAGGAAGGGAGAAATGCAAGGGGGCAGAGCAAACAATGAGGACAGAGGAATTTGCGGGAATTCTATGGTTGATATTTAGTATATGCATGGAGGATCCGAGTATAAGAGAGGGAGGAGACTTGAAAATGTAGAGAAGAAGGCAAATCCATATATCTTCTTCCATTAACTAGGGAGGAATAGAGAGAATTTTGAATTTCGTCGTGATTAGATCTAAGGGAGGAAATAAGGGTTAATTACAACATAACCCGATCATCGAAATGGCTGGGGTTATGATAATGGTGTTGCTCTGCCTCTCTGTAGGGACCATGTTGGGAGTCCAGGGTGAAGATCCTTACTTGTTTTTCACATGGAACGTCACCTACGGTACCCGCTCTCCTCTGGGAGTTCCTCAGCAAGTCATTCTCATTAACAATCAATTTCCAGGTCCCAACATCAACTCTACCTCCAACAACAACATCGTCCTCAATGTCTTCAATAACCTTGATGAGCCCTTCCTTCTGACATGGTAATTTCTTTAATTTGCTTAATTTCACACACACATATAATATTGTTTAGTTGAATTTTCATTTGATCAAAATAAATAAATCCATGCATGCATGCATGCAGGAGCGGTGTCCAACAAAGGAAGAACTCATGGCAAGATGGAGTGCTTGGGACCAACTGCCCAATCCTCCCGGGAACCAACTTCACCTACCACTTCCAGGTTAAGGACCAGATTGGTAGCTACATCTACTACCCGACCACAGGCATGCACCGTGCAGCTGGAGGCTTTGGCGGCCTTCGCATCAACAGCCGCCTGCTCATCCCTGTACCTTATGCTGATCCCGAGGATGACTACACCGTCATACTTAATGACTGGTATACCAGCAGCCATGCCACTCTCAGGAAATACTTGGATGACGGCCGCTCTCTTGCAAGGCCTACTGGTGTCCTTATCAATGGCAAAAACGCCAAGGGAGATGGCAAGGATGAGCCCCTCTTCAAAATGAAGCCTGAAAAGACTTACAAGTACAGGATCTGCAATGCTGGGATCAAGAATACTCTCAATTTCAGGATCCAAGGCCATACTATGAAGCTTGTGGAGATGGAGGGATCCCATGTGGTGCAAAACGTGTACGAGTCACTCGATGTCCATGTTGGACAATGCTTCAGTGTCCTCGTGACAGCCAACCAAGCTCCCAAAGACTACTACATGGTGGCTTCCACCCGATTCAATAAGCAGGTTCTCACCGCCAAGGGCATCATTCGTTACACCAACGGCAAGGGTCCAGCATCACCTGAGTTCCCTGAGGCACCAGTTGGATGGGCTTGGTCTCTCAATCAATTCCGTTCCTTCCGCTGGAACCTTACAGCCAGTGCTGCTAGGCCTAACCCTCAAGGCTCTTACCACTACGGTTCCATCAACATTACCCGCACCATTAAGCTCGTAAACTCAGCTAGCCGAGAAGGTGGCAAGCTTCGCTATTCCCTCAATGGCGTCTCTCACGTTGATCCAGAGACACCTCTCAAAATTGCTGAGTACTATGGGATTGCAGACAAGGTGTTCAAATATAACACCATCAAGGACATGCCATCAGCTAAGATTGGTAAGGTTGTCACACAACCCAATGTCCTCAACCAAACCTTCCGCAACTTCGTTGAAATAATCTTCGAGAACCACGAGAAGAGCATGCAATCATACCATTTGGATGGTTATTCCTTCTTTGCGGTCGCGTAAGTATATATTTTATCTAATTAATTAGTTTAGTTAGATTTCTCAAATTTGCAAGCTAATATTCTATATAAGTTTTTTAATTGAGATTGAACTAATGATATTGATTAATATAATAATATATCTATATGCACACAGTATTGAGCCTGGCACCTGGACCCCTGAGAAGAGGAAGAACTATAATCTCCTTGATGCAGTGAGCAGGACTACTATCCAGGTCTTTCCCAAATCCTGGGCTGCCATCCTCTTAACTTTTGATAACGCGGGGATGTGGAACATCAGGTCTGAGATGTGGGAGAAAGCATACCTTGGTCAGCAGCTCTATGTCAGTGTTCTCTCCCCTGAACTCTCTCTTAGGGATGAGTACAACATTCCTGACAATGCTCTGCTTTGTGGGAAAGTCAAGGGCTTGCCCAAGCCTAAGCCATACACCATATAAGTCAAACTACCAGACCCCATTCCACCTGATACAGTCTCGTCGAATGGGTAGCTGTATGAGAGAAGAGCGAATGATGACAGCAAAGCGGTGGTGCTCAACCATAGAATAATTCTTGGCATTGCATGAAGTACTTAATTGCGAACAACTTGAAGAGGGAGAAGAGGCTTGATAATTAAAAGATAAAGAAAGGTTGAGGACACTCTTTATTGTTTTGACAATTTTATATTATGATTGTATCAACCTTATTTTTTTTAAAAAAACGCCATGATATTTTTTTGTTGTTTTTTTAATCCAATCATTATAATTTCATAATATACATATGTACTAGTTACTTTCCTTGCCAAAATAAATATCAATTAATTAATTGTATGTGGTTTCAAGTGGGTTACTCGCGAAGATCAACTATAATTCAATTTTGATATTAATATTCTTCCTCTCTTAGAATATTTCGAGGTGAAATCTCATCTTTACATGAACCACAGAAGTAAAAAAAAAAAAAAAAAAACTATCGGTATGTTTTGTCTTTTTACTTCTGCTCTTCTTCTTCTTCTTCTTCTTCTTCTTCTTCTTCTTTTATAGATTTTATCCATTATTTACGTCACTTTCTATGGATCATACTGTTGTGTAACGTTTATTAATGCCAAGCCATATCAAGAAGAACTAGGTATACTGATTCTAGGATTCAATAGAAAAGATAACAGAAAGAAAGAATTAACAAAGGAAAGAACTCTAATATCAAATTGCAGAAAAAATAAAGATTGCAAAGAATTAGAAATAAATAGCCTCACACCACTCAAGAGAATCACTCTCATTTTAAAATCACACCAAATAAAAGAACTTTTCATTATAATCTACCCTTCTAGACATACATTCTATATTAAATAAAAATATATATTACAGTTATTTATTAGATAACTACCTTTTAGGATAAAAACAATGATAGTTTATAATTAACTTCTTCTGCCACTTGGAATTATAAGATTATCTTCATCCATTATTAATTAACTGCCTCCTTATCAACATGCTTCGCTAGATCATTCATGTCAACATGCATTGTTGAAATTTTGGCTTTCACAGAGTGCTTCAATCCTCTGGAGCCTGCAAAATCTGTAGTTGTGGCAACACATTGCTCCTTGTTGGAATTTTGTTCCCTTTCATTTGCATCAATTTCCTCTCTTCCCAGTAACTTGCCTTGGGCAAGTAATGTTCACCATAATCTTTATAAAGTTAAGGATTAAGATGATGGACTTCATGATCTTATAAACAGACTGCTTGTGATTTCGGCTTGGACGCCCACTTTACCAAAAACTTATAATAACCTCCCCTCCTGGTAGAGACAAATTGATGGGTTGATATTAAGTCAACACTTTCTGGTGTAGGTTGAACTTGTGGAATTGTTGACGGACGTTCCTCTTATTCTTGAGCAGACATAGAACCTTGATAAGTCATAAGGTCTTCTACATTGAAAACTAGACTGAACTGGAGGTAAGTCAATTAAATAAGCATTAAATCCCAACTTTTTAAGGATCTTAAATGGGCCAATCTCCTTGGCGTGCAATTTGTGATACATTCCAGGGGAAAATCTTTCAGGTCGCACTCTGATCAAAACCAAGTCCCCTTCCTTAAAATGCAGCTCTCTCCTATTTTTGTTAGCCTGTGTACATATTTAACAACATGCTCTGTCATCTTGCTTTTAACTTCTTCACGTAGGTTTGACATAAAGGCCGCAAAATCCACTCCTGCCTCACTAATCTTTTGAGGTTGAGGCAGAGGAGTGACATCAGTAGGAATCTTCTGTTTTAACCCATAAACTAATTCGAATGATGTGGTGCCTATTGTCCGATTTATAGAATTATTACATACAAATTCAGTCTGTGGCAAAATTAGATCCCAACTTGCATCATGTTCATCAATTAAACATCTGAGCAGATTGCCTAGACTTCTGTTGGTCACCTTAGTTTGGCCATCTATTTGTGGGTGGAAGACAATAGAAAATAGGAGTTTGGTACCCAATTTAGCCTGAAGAGTCTTCCAAAAATAACCAACAAATTTAACATCCCTATCAGATATCCTGGAGACTGGAATGCCATGTAAATGCATAATTTCTTCTAAGAACAGTGAAGCAATATGATAAGCATCAAAAGTCTTACGACATGGAACAAAGTAAGCCATCTTATAAAATCGATCCTCCACCACCATGATAGAGTCATTACCTCAAACAGTTTTTGGAAGGCCAAGTACAAAGTCTATACTCAAATCAACCCCAGGTCTCTACGGAATTGGTAATGGCGTGTATAAGCCAGTATTGTGCTTACCATCCTTGTTTATTCGACAAATTCTGCACCTGCTCATAATAATATTGATGTCCCTCCTTATATTGGGCCAGTAGAAACGATCAGTAACTAAAAAAAATGTCTTGTCTTGCCCAAAATGACTTGTCATTCGTAGTTCCTGAATAATAAACTCCCATAAAGATCCTTTAGGAACACAAATCTAACTACCCTTCATCAAATATTCATCTATTAGTTTATAATATGCAACTGCAATGGATGGGTTGCCGTGTAAGGACTCCTAGACCTCTTTAAAATCAGCATCAGTGTTGTAGTGATCCTTCATAGAAGCCATTCCTAAAGAATTTATTGAGAGGATCATCAATGGATAAGGCCTGAGGCTAAAAGCATTTGCCATTTTGTTTTCTTGTTTAGTCTTGTGTTAAATAACAAAACTAAATTGTTGCAAATAGCTAAACCATCGAGCATGCTTGGCACTTAACTTGTTTTGAGATTGCAGATACTTTAATGAATCATGGACCGTAAAAAGATCAAACTCACGATGAATGAGGTAGGATCTCCAGTGTTTCAAAGTCTGTACTATTGCATAAAACTCCAGGTCATACGCTGAATACTTCCTCCTGATTTTCATTCAACTTCTTGCTAAAAAATGAAATTGGATGCCCTGCTTGACTTAGCGATCCCAACTTCAAAAATTTGAGAGAAATCTGGAAGTTATAGAATAAGAGCCTTTGCCATCTTCTGCTTAATGTTCTTAAAAGCATGTGCCGCTGCAAAAGTCCATTTGAAGCTTTTGGCTTTCAGACATTCAGCAATTGGAGCCATGATAGTGCTAAAAACTTTGATGAATCTACGATAAAAGGTGGCTAGGCTATGAAAGCTTTTGATTTCAGAAAAAGATTGAGGTTCTGACCACTATGTGATTGCTTTGACCTTCTCAGGATCTGCTTCTACTCCTTGTTGAGATATGACAAAGCCTAGGAAATTTATTTTAGATTGTAGAAAAGAGCACTTGCTGCTGTTAGCATAAAATTTCCTTTGCTGCACCAACAAAATTTGCTTCAACTGATAAATATAACAACAAAATATTTTTAATCTCAATTTTAATCATAATTTTAATTAAATATTTATTTTTTTAAATTAATTAATTTTTTTTTAAATTACAACCACACAATACCAAACACACTTTAATTTTTTATTACTAATAAATTTAAATCTTTTTATTGTTTATAAAAAACAAAATGATGGTAAAATCCTTGAAACAAAGTTTAATTTTTTTGTGTCCAGAAAATTATTTGAGTTGTCATTGTTTAAACAAAATATAAAAAGACCCCATGATCCCTTTGAAATTTAAAATGATACTTATGTCCTTACGAAAAGTCTATGCTGAGTCGCTTCCAACGACGACTACCTCAATTGTAACGGCCAGTGACTTCTCCAAAGGACTTTCAAGAAAGCTCCGCGTTTGGAAACTTGTTCTCTGAAATTTTCCATCTTTTTGCAAGTACTCCCTCAGGTACTATCTCTCTCATAACTATTTTATTTAACGCAAAAATGTTCTCCTTTTGTTTCCTTTTCCGAGATATTATATTAGTTTTTTATTTCAAGTAAGAACAAGTAGGCTTAGGGTCTCAATATTTTTTACGGACTCTTGTGTTTCATTTTTGCTTGATTGCTATTTGATCTAAGGATCTGGTGTTGAGGTGAGTTATTAATTTTGAACTGTTTTGAATATGAACTATCCGCTTGTTTGATTGTGTTTAATTTTAAGAATGGAATTCATGAATTGAAATTAGAGATTCATAGATCGAAACATTTTTTTATAATTTAACTTTTTTTGATTGATTTGAACTTGAAATTCTTTTTTGAATGAGTTAAAGAGAGAATAAGAATTGATTTTGTGCCTTATTTTTAGCTGTGGTTATTGATTTTGAGAAGATGAAGAGTGGCCGATAACTGGATATGCTTTTCTGCTCTTTGTAGATTTCCTTTTGTCTAGCTTTTATTTTGTATTCCTTTTTAAGGTCTATATGCTGTGTACATATTTTGTTTGGTTGATGGGGTTGTAATTTGTTTTTCTGGGCATTGGGTAAGTGTTTTTTCTTGACTTTCTCCTAGGAATGACATGGAGGCTGAAAGAAAGATCTTTGTTGGAGATATGGTTCTCTCCCCTCTTATCTTGTTGAGTTGTTTCATTCTTTTCTTAAGAAGCTCCTGTGATGGAGCTTTGCAATTTATCTTGTTGAAGTTTGAGTCCTAATTGCTATACTTTGATTGTAGATCTTGTGTTTGGTGTGGTTTGTGGTTGATTTTGTGTTTGGTGTGGTTTGTGGTTGATTTTGTGTGTTTTCTTTCGATGTTGTATGCCATAAGATTAATGATTTTTCTTTTCCAAACTTGTAACATATAACAAGCAAACCTTTAAAACTTACACCAGACAAGGCCTGCAAAATCACAAGACCAATCTCTTACCTAGAGACTCTATATCAACTATTTCAAAATTAGCAATGTAATGACCTCTCCTTTCTCAACAGATCTTATTCCTGTTTTTTGTTTCCAACATATCTGTTGTTCTTTTCAGGCTTAAGAGCAATGAACTGGGTTCAACGTAAGATCTACCTCTATAATGTCACTTTTGGTCTTTTCATGTTGGATTGGTGGGAACGTTGCCTTTTCAGTATCCTCTTCTATTTTATTAGATCAGATAGATCCTTATTATTTCATCTTTCTGTCTTAATTTATTTTGAATATTGAATTCGATTTTGTGAGTTCCTAAACTTTGGCAGATATTCTGGTGATCGTTTTGATGTGGTTCATTTTCTACAATGGATCGCGATATGTCACTGACTTTTGCAAGAGGTATGTAGCATCAATACTCTCACTATCTTTGAGCTAGAATTGATAGAAGTTGCACCTTTTGATCTTGAAATTCTTTCAGATTTTACTGTTTCAAAACTCAATCAATCCCTGCATATCTAAATTGATTTTTCTTTAAAGATTCAATAAACAGAAATCCGAGTCCAGCTGATTTAATATCATATTAGGGGCAATCACTAGTTTGTAGCCCCCATGGTTGAATGTAGAACAAGAAAAAATCTGTGTCTTGAATCACAATGGAGAGCAACAAGAACGAAAAAGATGAAAAAAATAAAGAGAAATGGAGGCAGACTGCCTATCATTGGAATCTTCAAGTTTAGTTGCATCTTGGGAGGGAGGGGTTTATCTGGTGGCAATAGATACTATACTTACCCTTTGTGCTCTGGTTATTAGGCATGCTTGAAGTATTCATAGACTGGACTTAATATAATCCCTTGCTAGATTGGAGAAATGTTATTATACTTCCCAGTTGGTTAAGGAAAGGGGCACTCGAATACGCTCATTGAACCTTCCAGATCTTTACCAATTAAGATTTATGTTTCCAATGGAACTGGAAGTTCCGGACTTTGCATCTGGACCTCCCATTGGGTTTCTTTCTTCCTAGCCTTTATTCCCATTCTGTCAAATCCATGGATATTAAAACTATGCCCAAGTATGATTATCTGTCACCTGGGAAGTTAGGGCTATAGTTCTGGCTAGGGGTGAATAAAAAAACTGATAAACAGAAAAATATTAACTGAAAAAACCAAACAAAAAAAAAAACCGATTATAATATTTAGAAAAACTTCTAGTTCGGTTTCCCTTTTTGTAATGTTGAAACTGATAAACTGGATCCAAACCGAACCGGTTCATATTAAAAGAAAAGGTACTATAAATGGAAAAAAAAAGCTTTATATTCTAACCTGAACCCAGTAACCCTAGCAGCTGCCCCCTCCCTTTAAAGACATAAACATGCCACCTTCTAGTCTTTATTCTTCAATTTGTATCTCCACTTTTCAGATCTAGCATCTCAGCAACACTCCCATATCTTAGCACTCAACAATAGTCCACCTAAGCGCTCTTTTTCAGTTCTTTACAATAAGTTTTCTTTTTATATTATTTTGTAATTGTGAATGAGGTTTATCAGTTGTTTTTTGTCCGTACCTTGAGAATGCTTTAGAAACAGCAAGATTATCCTTTTTGTTTATGCTCAAAAAATATTCCTGGGGTGGGTGTGGCTACCACCTCACTGCCCTGTATGTGGGCATAGAAAAGGAAAAGCACTACCTGTGCAAGTCATGGCCGGGGTTGTCATCCTTACCAAGGAGACAACTGTCAAGCAACAACCATATAAAGCTTTATCAGTCTCAGCTACCAAGGCTGCAGCTATATCAGCAACTTTTGCAGTGAAATATACTAAAAGCCTATTCAAATGGTTAATTTCGAGTAAATATCTTGGTTGTTTGTTTCTGGAAATGGTGTTGCGATTAAGTACATATTTTACTTCTTTCTTTCAAAGCTTGAATGAGTTGGCATGTGGGAATAACGAAAGAGACTTCCAGATATTTATAACCTACTTCCAATCTTCTACTTTGATTCGTAAATAATCTTGTGCTGTTGTTTGGTTAATTCTTCTGTATTCCTTTGTGCCATGGAATGAAGACATTCCGGAGATGTGTTTTGGGCTGATGTTATCGCTCTTGAATAATTGGGGAATATAATGTTACTATTCATTCAAAATATTCAAGCAGAAATGCTGCTTCGTGTCCCTAAATTGATAATTTTTTCTCAGAAAAAGAAAATTACAGTCTAATTGCTCTTCTTGATTTCAGGCATCTAGGGTGAATCCCAGATATGAAATGTAGCAGCAATGATCACAAGGGAAATGGCAATGTGGAATATATGAATGATATAGTGGCATGTCTCCCTTGATATAATTTGACTTTATTCTATACCATCCTTGTAATGATTATGAACCATGGTCTTAAATTTGGTAAGGATTCAAGAATGTATTCTTTCTTGTAGTGATTGTGAAACTTGTCCGACCAATTGCAATTAATGGAATTTTGCATTTCATGTAGCATAACAGACTAAATCTTCCTCTTTTTTATGTTCATTCCGCTGTGAATCTTAGTTCCGCTTTGAACCTTAAAAGAAAAAGGTTGCCGTGTGCGAAAATGAATGTTGCTGCGAGCCTCTACTTCAACTGCGAGCCTCTACTGCTTTATTTATTTATTTTTTATCATTTTATTTATTATCAATATATTTTTTTATTATATTATTAAATTAAGCAAATTAATTGCAGTTGAAGATTTACTCTTTTGCTTTGTTGTGAATATCATTTCAGCACTAGAAGATGCTCAGTGAGATGATTATAATAACATTGTCCAAGGTTTTATAATGGCATTGTGTAAGGCTACACAACAATACCATAATAGACCACATGTTATTGGAGTAAAGATTTCAAAAACAAACTAAATCAAATATTATGAAACGAACATTTTATAATTAAAAAAAAGTTAAATTTAGTGAAGAATAAAAAATAAAAAAGATATGAGATAATTCTAATCATTTTCAAAATTACTAAACATCTTATATAAAATAAATAAAAAAAATAATAAAGTCTAATTTTCAATTAAATAAATACTAAAAGATAAAACTTAAAAAACATAAGTTTTGAAAAATGAAAAAGAAAACCCAAGCAAATTTAAAAAAAAATCTTCTAAACTTGTTAATATTCCAAGTTCGCAAGATGTTCAGTTTTAGACATGAGTTCAATTAAAAACTTTAATTAATTCTTCACCAATTTAATGATGAAAGATGAAACCGGAAAAAATGTTAATTTTAAAAAATTTATTAAAGTAAAAAAAATAACAAAGAAAAAAATATAAGGACTGGATTTGATAACAAAAAACTGAATGATTTCCAAGTTAATAAGTTGTTGCTTTTCGGAGCTCAGTTCAGTAGTTATTTGCCTTTAATTTGTGGCATGGAAAATCCTGACCCACCTTTAAATACCTACCAATCTTTAGGGTTTAGGGTTTGAGTTTAGAATTGGGTTTAGGGTTTGAACTTTAGGGTTTGGGGTTTTGAGTTGGCGTTGAGTTATTTAAACTCCGGTTAAAAATAAAATAATATATATATTATTTTATATTTTTATAGGAGTTTATAGACTGGGTTTATGGTTAGGGGTTTAGGGTTGTGGGTTTTACGGTTTGAGGTTCGGGGTTTTGAGATTCGGGTTTTGGGTTTTGAGATTCGGGTTTGAGATTTAGGTTTTAGAGTTTAAAGATTAGAATTTTAGGGTTTAAGATTTGATGGTTAGGGTTTAGGGTTTTAAGGTTTCAAGTTCAGGTTTAAAGTTTTGAGTTTTGAGTTTTAGGGTTTTAGGGTTTGAGTTTCCGGTTTGGATTTTGAGTTTTGGATTTAGGGTTTGAGGTTTAGGATTTGGGGTTCCAAATTTTAGGGTTTGGTGTTTCGGGTTTTGGGTTCAGGTTTAGGGTTTAGGGTTTAGGGTTTTTTAGGGTTTAGGGTTTTGGGTTTGGGGTTCGGGTTTAGGGTTTAGGGTTCAGGGTTCAGGGTTCGGGCTTCGAGTTCGGGTTTGGGGTTTGGGGTTTGGGGTTTGGGTTTAGGGTTAGGGGTTAGGGGTTAGGGGTTTGGGGTTTGGGGTTTCTGGTTTAGGGTTTTAGGGATTAAAGTTTAGGGTTTGGGGTTTAGTGTTTGGGGTCTAGGGTTTTGGGTCTATGGTTTCTTGGGTCTAGGGTCCAGGGTCCAGGGTCCAGGGTCCAGGGGTTAGGGTTTGGGGTTTGGAGGTTCGGGTTTCGGGTTTGGAGTTTGGGGTTGGGGGTTCGGGAGTTCGGGGTTTGGGGTTCGGGTTTCGGGTTCAGGGTTCAGGTTTTAGGGTTTAGGGTTTAGGGTTTGAACTTTAGGGTTTGGGGGTTTGAACTTTAGGGTTTGGGGTTTGCAGTTTTGAGTTGGCGTTGAGTTATTTAAACTCGGGTTAAAAATAAAATAATATATATATTATTTTATATTTTTATAGGAGTTTATAGACTGGGTTTATGGTTAGGGGTTTAGGGTTCTGGTTTGTGGGTTTTACGGTTTGAGGTTTGGGGTTTTGGGATTCAGGTTTCGGGTTTCAAGTTCACGTTTGAGATTTATGTTTTAGAGTTTAGAGATTAAAATTTTATGGTTTAAGATTTAATGGTTAGGGTTTAGGGTTTCAAGGTTTCAAGTTCAGGTTTAGAGTTTAGAGTTTAGAGTTTTATGGTTTGAGGTTTGGGGTTTGAGTTTCCGGTTTGGGTATTGAGTTTCCAGTTTGGGTTTTGAGTTTAGGATTTAGGGTTTGAGGTTTAGGATTTAGGGTTTCAAATTTTAGGGTTTGGAGTTTCGGGTTTTGGGTTTAGGTTTAGGGTTCAGGGTTAAGGGTTTTTAGG